TACTTTAGGGAGGTAAAGTGTTGTGTATCTGAAGGAGGTAAAGCAGGAAGGGGGGAGGGTTAGTAGAAGGAGTTAGTTGGGAGTGAGAAGAGCTTACCTGATGGAGGAGGAGGAGGGGGTGGGCAGTCAGGTTGTTTATTTTTTACAAAAAGAGTATCTATTATTGGAGGGTTATCTTGAACTCCATATTCGTCATCTTCACCCTGCAGGATACAAATCAATCTTTTACAAGAAAAAAAAGGAGAAAAGGGGAAAAAATATTTTTTTAAAGTAATTATTTTGCTCAAACTCTATAATATTCTCTTCATCTGTTTCAACCTGATAGTGTACAACTTTAATATTTCCAAATTGAGATTGAGATCAATTAGTCATAGTTTAACATTTCAAAACTTTACATTGAAGCAATTGTAATAAATTACTTTTATTGTGAATTTTGTTTTATCATAATATCACTAGATCAATCTCATGGTTGTTAGATTGAACATGTACAATAATACAAATTGGGAAATTGATTCAATGCTTTGACGGATCAATTCATGATATTAGTTAATTCAAACATAGTTAAAGGCAACTTTCATTTATTTTTTATTTTGATTAATTCAGATTGATTTGTTATTTTCCTGTTTGCATTTGGCCATAGAGTTGTTACAAGATACAGATCTGACAGCGGTTAACAGCTCCATTTCTCCTAAATATAGAGCTGTTACAAGATGCAGATCTAACAGCATTCAAAAGTAACATTTCTCCTAAACATAGAACTGTTACAAGATACAGATCTGACAGCGGTTAACAGCTCCATTTCGCCTAAACATAGAGCTGTTACTAGATACAGATCTGACAGCGGTTAACAGCTCCATTTCTCCTAAACATAGAGCTGTTACAAGATACAGATCTGACAGCGGTTAACAGCTCCATTTCTCCTAAATATAGAGCTGTTACAAGATGCAGATCTAACAGCATTCAAAAGTAACATTTCTCCTAAACATAGAGCTGTTACAAGATACAGATCTGACAGCGGTTAACAGCTCCATTTCTCCTAAACATAGAGCTGTTACAGATCTGGCAACATTCAAAAGTTTGATTTCTCCTAAACATAGAGCTGTGAAATAAGAAAGATCTGTCAGCTGACAATTATAATTTCATTTCTCAAAAACAAATATTTGGTAATTTATTGTGTATGAAACATTTTTCAATTACTTTTTAAAATTTAATTTCCTCAATTCTTGTCTAAATTTAAGATTCCTGGTTCTTTTTTTAAAAAAAATACTCTCAACTTAAGACGAATGTTTTTCTAAAAGTTTTCCAAAAACCATAAACAATCCCTTGAATTCAACAATTCTTAACTTTATGCTTCACTTAGTTTTACAGGGTATAATGTTAAACAAATCTGTAACAAACATTTCAGTTAAAATTGTCTAAAGTTTGATTCGTTAGAATTCTCTTTTAGGGCTTGTTGTAGCTTCCACCGGGGGGATCTAAATTATGCTTGTTAATCCCACCGTTTACCCGCACTTTGTCGTAAATTGCGACTTTAGCTATTTTTCCCTCCAAAAGTCGACCCACTCAATTTAGAATTTAGATTTAAGACACATCAGTTTCACCGTCAGTCATAACAATAACAATCATTGATGTGTATTTTAATTTATCGCTCAAGTGTTATTTTTTTTTAAATATCTGTTTGACAACGTTTTTCTACAGGAGTGAGAAACGACCTGAAACTCTCAATATATGATTTAAAGATCGGAAAAAAATACGGATAAAAATATACTGATATATCCGTCAGCTCCTATAGGATAATAATTATAAAAGGGTGCGTTTTGAGAATCAAACATGCCAATTGTAATAATAGAGAGTCCCTTTCAGGATTCCTCTACATGAACATTAATCGAATCAAAAACTTTCATTTTTCTTTTCTTTAGTTTTACAATATTAAAGTTTCGAAGATAAAGCAGCTTAATGTTTGTTTTATGTTAATGTAAACCTTGCAAAAGAAAATCCATTACACTTCATCGCCTTTTTACTTTTCTGTTATAATGACTACTTAGTAAAGTGTCCGACGTTATCCGTCAATATCAATTGACCCACGGCCTCCTGCACGCATATTCAGTTAAAAGAATATGTAACCCGACCTATGTAAAACAACAGACAAATGTATAATCTTGTCTTATCGAAGTGTTACAGTTTAGGCAACTCACCTATATGTCAAGTGACACCCTCAAGTAACGAACCTAAGCCTGTTAAATCTGTAATTCTTAAATGGAAGGTAACATAAAATCTTGGTGAGGGTTCCTTTAAAATATTTTTAGAAATAGCAGTCAAATATTTTCTGAAATCCCCCCCATCCCT